TAATGAGACTGTGCAATACTGGAGCAGTAGTCTAAAATATCCTGTATAGTAAATTCCATAGTAATTCCTGATCCAGGATAGCAGCGAGCTATCAGCCCTTCAAAGTGCTTGTATTGTCGTATAAACTCATCTTGCATGGAATGCCACACAACCTGCCAAAGAAAAAAAACCAAACTTCAGGAAACTGGGACAATACATTATATGTGAACTACAAAACATTGGCTCATTAACTGATTCTCAGTTCAGGTGTCATTTTAAAACTAAAGCTTGCTAATAACAAAGTTCAGTAAACTGAATTGCTGCATTAAGAAGAGATTGAAGTTTTTTACCCATTAAGTTTAAATATCTAATATTTACATGACTCCTACCAAATCTACACTGCAAAGCAGAAAATAGTAAAGATGAGTAAGTTGCCGTAAAAAATTGCTTTTGTCTTTAAAGAGCCTGAACCAGAACAGTGCTACTAATTCACATTTCAGACTTTAAAAAGCTGTTAATACATGCTTATCTCTTAAATCTACTTGTCATTTATTCCAGTGAGAAAGTTTACAGAGTATAAGAAAAGACTTACATCAGAAAAGATGTAATTGAAAGTATATTCTGCTGTAGAGTACCAGATAAATTTCCTATCAGGTTAACAGTTAATTTAAATCTAGTTCTCTCCCAGAATATTTTGCAGAACAGGGATCATCCATTAATGGTCAGCTAGGGAATCACAGAGGAAGTTTATTTCTAAACTCTACCACTACAGTTCAAAACAATATTACAACAAATAGACAGGGATTATAAAAGACTCTGCTCAAAATTAATGGTTTTTCAGAGTTATGCTGAAGATAGGCACTTCTTACAGAATACATATGCAAAATTAATAATAAAAGCCTTTCTGTAAACATAAGGTTTTTAAGCCATGATTTAGTTTACCTGAAGTAAGTTTTCTTCTTCACAGAGATGTTTATCTACCTTCTTGTAGAGATTATCTAATCCCTTCTTCACTTCCTTACCAGGATATTCCTTTATAACTTTACGAAGCTCTTGTTTATTAAAAGCCAGTTGATAACTTACTTCCTCTTCTCGTATGCCTTGTGCCACACGAGCTTCAACACCTTCAAAAAAATGCTAACGAACAATAACAGTGTTAATGATTATCACAAATCTAAACTAATTAACTTAATTTTACAAGCATGTGTGTAATTAAGTCTTGATTCTGCTTGATGACTGTTGCATGTTCCCCCCCCATTTTTGTCTTTTAATTGGGCACGAAGTAGTGCTCAGCCATAAACATTAAGGTACAGCCTAGGAATACAGCACTCCATAAGTACTAGCGTAAAACTGCCATCACATTTCTAGAAGCAATCAAGCTTTTCTTTGCAACGTTATAACTAATACTGAATCAGCCTCAATATCCTCAGTTAATGAGGCCGCAGCCTGGTAAAATACTGCATCTTTTGGATAAGCTAAGTAAGCATCTGACTAGGAATTTCTCTATTTAAACCATAATTACAGAACAGCAATATTTGTTCAAAATTGCCATCTCTTCTCACTGCCACACACCAGATGGCTCAACATAATAAAAATGGAGGGAAGTATGCCTATAAACTCTGTGTGTCTCTCTACATGCATGCTAACTTTATTCATAGCATGCACATAGGGTGCTATGTTTTGAATTTGTGGCTAAAATAGGGCTGATAACACACCAGTGTTTTGGTTATTGCTGCACAGGTCAAACCTAGCCAAAGGGTATTCCATAGCATGTAATATCCTGCTCAACTATAAAAATTAGGGTTAGAGGAAGGATGCATGCTTGTCTTCAAGGTGGCTCTTGCTCAGAAACTGGCTGGACATAGTCTGCTTGCTTGCAGGAGCTAGTGAGTGACTGCCTTCAAATCACTTGTTTTCTCTCTCTCTCTCTTTTCCCCTGTCACTGATTAAGCTGTCTTTATCTTAACTCCCGGATTTTCTCGCTTTTGATCTTCCCATTCTCTCCCTTGTCCTGCTTGGGGAGGGGAGAGTGAGCAAGTTATGTGGCCACTTAGGTGCTGGCCGGACTCAACCCACAATTGTCAAGCAGCAATAAAGCATTTTAATTTTCAAAAAGAGAATACATCTAAGACTTTCCAGAAAATTAGTGTCTGAAATCCTGCTTTTATAAAAAGCAATGTACAGTGGGAAACATTCAGTAAGCAGAACTGAGTCTGAACCTGTCAGCATTCAGTTTAATGCTTCGTTCAGCTTCAGACATAGAGAACTTCCCTAAAACTTTTCTTGTTGTTGAACAGTTCAGAAACTACAGTAATTTTCTCTGCCACTGAGGTGGAGACAATTATCCCAAAGCTCCTAATTACTTTTCTCCTCACTTTTTCCTTCCTTAAAACCACTGGTTTAAGACAACTGACGTTTAGCCAGTACTATTTATTGCCATGAAAAAACGGGTTATTTTCATCCAAGACTGTTACTCATGAGAGAAGAGTACTCTTGCCAGGTATGCTTGAGTCTAAAATAATAAAATAGAGACTATGATAGATTCAGTGATAAAGAGATCAGATAATGCAAACTAAACATTTGAGAAAGACAACTCTGTACCATTTAAATGCATATAAACTCAAATATACTTACATTTAATTTCTCAAGAGGCTGTCCAAGTGAGTAGATGACATAAGACTGAAGATGATCAGTGTACTTCTGTTTGGCTTCTTTTTTCTCAGCCTCAAGACAAGAAATTTTCAAGCGAGAAAGTGTTGCAAAAATGTGATGGAAGTTTTCCATCATGACCACATCTCTGGGTGTTTTCTGGCTTTCATTAGCTACTTTCTCAACTGAAAGAAAAAGAAGCAAAATACTTAAAATACCAGAAGGACAATCGAATTCAGAAATTATAATCATAATACTGTCAGAAAAAGAATTATGGATTTTATGCCAATGATACTCATTTGTATGAGTGATTGCCATAATCGCCACTAAATAAATCAATACCTGAGAGCCTTCAAAAGAAGTAACAGATATGTAAAGGCTCTAAGACCATGAAATCTGTATGCCAAAAAGTCCCTTATAAAATGATACAAAATAGTGGCTACATATGGTCATTTATGTAAGTGAGAAACAACCCACATTCTGTGGAGGCTTACAAGCATGCTTTCATTATCCCTAATAAATTTCATGACAGAACTATTTAAGAAAAGTCTCATTCCCCTCTTTGCTAAAACAAAAATCTTCACTAAGGTGGTGGGTTTTTTAAAATGTACTTCCCAGCCTCTCAGTTTTTGCTTAGCTTATTAGTTTTATGGTCAAAGTTACTATCAATTTCCAAATTTAATAAGCTTTCATACTTTCATTCCCCCCCAAAAAAAACACTGAGGGCAGGCAAAAGAAATTCTACCTATCATTCCCATATTGTGCCTAAAAGCAGGCTGAAAGAGGATGGCTTCAACCAATAAAGTAATTAAGTCTCTATGCCCGTTCATCCATTAATCATTTTGCTGAGACTACCAGGATACCCACCATGAAAATTATCCTGGGCACCAGACTATCAATGAAGGTCACAAATTCATTTCAGTCAGAACGCTGAAATGCCAACTAGGAAAAGTCTGCTACTGCCAATTTTATTCTTTGCATACACTTTTCTACATGCCCCTCCCCAGTTCTACCTGAAGAAATACATCTTTCTGACCCGTCCCAGACATTACTTGTAAATTAAATATCCTACTGCAGTAAACATACTGCTTACACTGATTTTGTACATAATTTTGACTTTGTTTCGTCTTCATTCTTTACTTCTATCCGTTATCCTCCCTGTTAAGTTTACTTTGTATTTGTCTGAAACAGATTCTCCTTTCTTCTTTGGTGTTTGGCATAATTTTAAACCCCCTTTAAAACATGCTTTTCTAAATTCTTCTTGCACTAGTTATTTTACCACTGTATAGTTTTGCATGTCTGTTGGTGTTTGCTTAGTTTTATCACTTGCACAGTAAATTCTTAAGGACAGAAAGGTTGGGTGCAATCAAATAAAAAACACTTTCAAGATTTACTGTCCTATCAGCTGGGATGCTCCTGCTGACTACATATGGACTCTAGCCTACTGTACTGTGAAGCAATGTCTCTTCACAGTTTCCTAATATGATCAGAACCACTATGCTGTAACTTCCTCAGACTAGCTTTATTGCCTCTATTGTCTCCTCTTGCCCAATCTTTCCCTCAACAAGAGGCAAGTCTCAGTGGTTGGGAATTACTATACATGGGGTTGTTTGAAAATCTGCAGGTAAATCAGCACAGAGAAGCCTGTCCATCTGTGTCAACCCCATTTTAAAAGCAAATTACAATTTTCCAGAGTTCATTGGCTTGCATATTCTCCCCTGCCCTCCCCCCCAGCCTCCTTTTTTTAAAATTTTAAATAAAACCAGTAGAACAAGGGAGTTGCTGTTCTTCCAGACTACAGCTGGGAAAATAGGGAGGACTGGAGAAACATTCCAGTGTGTCAGGCTAGGACACAAAGGACCTAATCTGCCAAGAGAGGGTCAAATTCATAGCCAGAAATCACATGATTTATTTTAGACAGGTCTATGAAGATGAACGGTATTAGGGCCAAATCCCAGGGATCCTATCCAGGTTCATCTCCTCATTTAAGCTACACTGGGGGAGAAAAGACAGGAAACCACTTCACATTGAGCGTGTTGTGTTGCTGCCATCTCTTCTCTCCCTCCAGTGTCTTAACCACTGCCCTCTGTCGTAACTGAAAGTTACAAGTATGTACAAAGGGAAATAGTTACAGTTTGGTCTTAAAAAGTGTATTACAATCAAAAGGTTTACACTTGCTCTCCTACTAATAGAGAGAACCAAAATTTCAGCACTTCAGTCATGTGGCTTACAATAGTCTTAAAAAAAAAATCTATACATAGGAGGAAACAATAATTTTAGTAAATATGACAACCTCAAAAGACCTACCACTGACAAAGACAGCTCTAATAAGTTTTATGTAGGCTTTATCTAGATCTCCTCGTCGTTCTGCATTTTTGAAAATTGATTCAGCGAGGGCTGCAAACTCTTCAAATTCAGCAACAAATGGAAGGATGCCGACTTTACTCTTCTTTGAGATTTTTACTTCGTCCATCTGCTTCATTTGATTACTCTTAAATTTAAAACAAGAACAGATGTTAGCCTCTAATATATGACTCCAGACAATTAACAACTAGTAAATGAAACTAAAAATGCAGACATACTGAAAAACTGACATCTATTCAAACACTGAAATAATTTAATCTATTACCTTATCTACTTAGTAAGCTTATCTCCCTTTTCACCCTCAAAAATTCATTAAGAAATAAAATAATTGGAAAGACAAAAAATGGGCAAGTCTTCCAGCTTTTATTCTCCTTTGTTTACTTAGTGTTAAGAAAAAAGAAAAAACCCCACCAAACTTATCCACCAGAAGCAATTAACAATTTGCAGTCTATAATCAAAGAAGGAACTCTGCTTTTCTCATTCAGCCAAGCTAACAATTCCTTTTGCTACAGAAGTTTTGATAATCTTCTGCTGAAACTTTGAGTCTAATTCAAAAGAATCAGCTTCAAAATACATGAAGCATTAAATTGATCAAGAATGGTCAGCCTTATTATGTTGGCCTAGAGTCAAATTACATTTATGACAATAAAAAAAGTTATACCAGCAACTAGGTTTTCACCAAATTTGCCATATTTCATATAATGGTCATACTGTATTAAGCAAAAGGAAGTTTCTGACAGTAGAAGCTGCCTCTCCTACTGCCAAAAGACTTGCCATTTTATCTAAGCCAAGTTTTTATTAAGTATGAGATGTAAATAACCAACACATGGAAGGGCTGTCTATTTGGCATATTATGCTCAAAGGGGAAAAGCAAAACCTACCTAACTCCATGAGGTTTTGTCTTGGTAAGTAAAAAAGGCAGAGAGCTACAGTTTACTTGACTGACTTCAGTAATCTCAGCAAGACTACGAGTTTAGAGAAACAACTAAAAATGTCACAGCAGTGAGTGAGGGGTCATATTTCTTACAAATAGCTAATTATAGAAGAAAATTGGAATGGAGAGGAAAAAGAAACACAACCATCAATTAGTTTAACTTTTTTGAAGGTTTGGCCAGTAGAAGAGCAATAAAGTTACTCATTTTCACTTCAAATTAAAAGCAAAACTTTAACTATAAAGAAATGCAAAATCAAACTGAGCAGGAGTAGGCTTCCTATATTATAGTTACCTTAATCAGAATAACTAGAGAACTTACAATGCATTTATCAAAGTTCCTTTTGACAGTCACCAAAACATTTCCAAGTGTTGTGCTGAGAAAGGAAGCTGGGTCCACATTTTGTGCTGTCCATACATGATGACTCATTTTAACTAACATATAAAGGGAATTAAAGCTATCAATCTTGTCCCCCAGCGCTATAAGATTATTCAGCTCAGGTTCAATACAACGGAATATTTTTGTCATCATTTGTCGGATCATGTCCTTCCTATTAAAAATGCATAAGAAAAATATTACTCTGACAGTTTACTAGGCTATATTACATGTTCTTTGATAACATTTTTAGGATAAATTTATTGGCTATAGTAGTCTCATTTGCATTCAACAAGTCTCATGATTTTCAGAATGCTGCTAAGGGAAGAAATGCCAGTGCTACACAGTAAAAATCAATAGTCACAAGGCATAAAATATTCCAAAAAATATTTTCTGTGTGGAAACTGCTATGCACTCAAATTCAGAACTTTGCTAAGCATATTTTCCAAAGCATATTTTATATATTACAGTGCCTAGTTTCACTTTGCAAACTATTACAGAATTAAGCATCTTTTTTGTACTACTATAGACAGAAACATCCATCCTAGATACAAAAATTTTTATATTTATTGACACATTCAGTGTCTAGGTAAAAATCAAGAGTTCATTATCCATTTTCACTGAAAGGGAACAATTTGTGATTATAGAGAAAAAAGTTTTATATGCCAACTAAATTCACATGTAGACTTAAGAATCAATAATAAGCAATAGCAGCACATACTCAGATGATACTGTTTGTGGAACACCAGAACTATATGAACGAAATAACGTTCCTCCATCCATTTCCTCTGCTTCATTCTGTAAAAATAAGGAATGTATATAAAGGAAGCTGAAAGCCTGTCTCCAATCCTATATATAAGTGATAAGTATATCGGACAAAACCAACGTAATTATCAGCTTGGTTTCCCACCCTCCCCCCGCAAAGCAGCAAATCCAGTAGTTTGTAAGGTACTGGTAGTTTTCTGGTCACGTTCCCCAGAATACAACAGTATCCACAATTACTACCCATTGCTTTCCTGCACAGCAGGATGAAGGGTTTATTGTGATCTTATAAGGAAACAAAGCCATGGCAAAAGAAACATGTCGGTCCATCTTTAATAATTTTTGTATTGGTCAGGCAAAAACAAATATTCTGCCGCTAATGGAGAAAAGCAAATTATTGATCACCTGGATCACATAATTGCCAGATAAATTCAGAAGTTAGATTTTAAACAAGTCCCTTATGAGGCCTGTTCAATATTTTTATTTCAGTGACAGAATGAAGAGTCATACCATTGTTGTTCCCGAGATGCTCTGATGTTGCTGTAGTTTAAAAAATTTACTAATGAAGTCCTGTTCTGCCAGACACAGAGGCTCTAGTTCACTTAATACTTGCTCGAAAATCTAAAGAAAGCCAAATATTTTATCAACGCACTAAATAAATGCTATGAACAGTTAGTAATACAAATTTTAATTGTTTGTTGCATAGGATTTTATACTTTCTATCTTCAGTAAGCTTTACAAGGCCTATTTCTACTTAACAGAAATGGAAACAGCTTGTACTTGTATCTTTGAAAGTGCTACATGCATCTTCAACATAGTCCCTTCTCATCCATATAACACCGGGAAGAAAAGAACAATCTGTGTTTTTCCACAACTAGAAGTTTTCTAGTCACAGCCTGAGGAAGGACTTCTGTGGTATAATGAAAACATTTGCATTTAATAGTAAGTCATGGGTTGTGCCACTCTCTTTTCTGCCTGCGTTGCTGAGATGAAGATGATAAAATTAAAAGCCTCAGGGAAGAAAATCAGGTAAACTGTGTATGTAGAAGATAACTGCTCCATAGAAAAAGTTTCTGCACAGCTGCTACAGAAACCAACAGCAGATTTTATCCTGAAATAGAAGTATTCATCATGATTTTTAAATTTAATCTAAAATTAAACACTATTTTGGCAATAATTCATTTAAAAAATTTATTAATACAAACTACTGAAATTGTAAGTCAGGCATTAGACATACAGAAGTATGTTTATGTATGAATCTGTCATCTGTACACAACACAGAATTTTCTCTGCAAGTATTTAAGGCTTAAGACATGCAATAATTTACATGAAACCAGTCTGGCCACGTAGTAAATCCACACTACTGAATATTCCCCTAAAAAAAAAAAAATTGAAAAAAAACCTACTAGGTCAGCTCAATAGCTTACAGCTCTGTATACTTTAGTCATACTCACATGTCACCAATGGCTCCGAGATGAAAGTTGGAGTTGAAAAAATCAGCACAATACTTGTATATAAAATTGTTTTTAAAAGTTATTATTTTAATTTTAGACAAGCTGATGCTACAGGTGTGTGATAACTTAACAGTTAAAATTGTTTCAGGCATATAATATTCCCTCCCAGAAAAAGATTGAGCAAGGATTTGAAGAAGTCAGAAGAAAAATACTCATTTCCATCAAATAATTCAACAGAGAGCAAGAAAATTATTTTTTATCTCACACTTTGATAACAGCTCCTTTTCCCTCCATAGTACTGGAGTGTTAATTCCACAAGAAGTGAGGAGTACTGTAATTTTTAAAGTTTCAGGAAAAAAAAACAAAACAAAACCCAAAAAACTCCAACAAACAACAGATGCTGAGGGCAGCAGGTTTTTAAACAGATGCTGAGGAACCCCCAATAATAACTTAGTGCCATTGGTCAAAGCTTAAAACTGATGATAACTTTCATGTGAAACCAGGATAAATAAAATTTTAGGGCCATGCTTAAGTCCTGGATAAAAGATGATTATGCTTTATCTTTCACTTTTGCTTACATACTGGCAAAATGCAACAGAACACATGAACATTTGTATTGAGAAAAATAAAATCAGTTGAAGAATCCATCAGTTCAGTTCTTATTTGCTTAAAAATGCATATTGGGCTTAAACTTAATAGACCATTTTTTATGCTTGACATTCTTTAAAAATCACACACAGCACATAAAGGAGCTAAATGGCATCTATCTTATAATCAGAGAATAGTATTCTGATCTGCATATTTCTTAGAAACTGTCTTTATTAGATGTGTGGTACATACTGAATTTGAAATTGACATGTTTTAAGATCTAAACAGTATATATTTTTAAACCACACAAAAATTATATGCAGGAGGCTTCCAATACAAAACTAAACAGGAAACCTATGTAACATTTTGCCTTTACCTTATCAAATTTTGTTCTGTCAGCCACATCAAGGTCAGAGGCAGACATGTTTCCCATATCCAACAGTGAGGATGACTGAGACCTACGGTTTCCTGAACTCTGAACAGAGAGTTTATTTAGGCTAGAGGTAGATCCAGTCAGTTTTCCAGAACTTCCATGAAGACCTGTGAAATAGAGACATTATGAAAGAGGGAAGTAAAGGCAGAATAAAATACTCAAGAAGAACAGGTTCATTAAGATCAAGAGTTGCTAGTAGTCCTACATTAAAACCAAATAACTCAATTTTTGTCTAAGCAGCAAATGCTTTTGCTATAAACACATTTTTTTCTTGTTACAAGGTAACTGAAGTACTTCAGCAAGTTTCAAAGTACAATGTAGCGATATAAGCCCTCATTGTATAGTATGGAAAAAGGTAAAAAAGGAACAAAGCTTTTGTGAAATGCAGGAACACTGGGATAGATATTCTCCTTGAAAACTTGGAAGCAAAGACCACTTACGGTCTTTGTGAATGTACTTTGGGCAAAGGCTGCCACCAGCAGAAGAATTAATCCACAAGAGGGAAAAAAAATTAAAAGCTTTATATATACACAGGCACTTTTTCATCTTGCACTTGATCTTTCTTGTCAACGTAGTTTGCTCCAGCTATTTTGCTAGATGTACAACCCCATAGTAACTCTACTAATAATGCTCCCCGCTCCTTTGAGCATAATTAACATTCAGACATTTCTTTCTGATATTGTGGGGCCTTCTCCTAGGTGAGGAGCATATTTTATTTTTTTCACAAATTTCAGAAATGTTGGAACAGAAAGGAAGAATCTACTAACAAAACAGATCAAGAAATCATCAATATTTGACCTCCATGTAAACTTCTCAGATATCAACCACAAAGAAAAGAAATCTTGCAAGTTTCATTTAACTGCTATGTTGGTATCTAACCTAGGGACACAAGACAAACTCTGTAGATCTAGTAAAAGTTGTTACCTTAACCTACTGGAAGAGCTGGAAAACTACCACAAGTTCTCAGGCACAAACATATTTTTTAGATCAACTAGCAGTGTGGGAAAACCAAAAGATATTGCCTTTACCTGCAAACCTTTTCAGCTTCTATGCTGGGCCATTTTAGCCGTGCTTCATTTTTGCCTTTCAAAAACATTGATTCTGCTAACGCTTATTTCATTCTGAATGGAGTGCTTCTGTGTTAGGGAGATTTTCCATAATGCAGCACTACATCTTTACATTGACACACATGCTTTGACAATACCAACTAATGCAACTAGTTATACTCACTCTCAGTTTCCTGTTTGACAGCACTTTCTTTTCGAGGCAGTGTAGCTGGGATGGATTAGGTTGCAAGCATCAAAGACAAAGACAAGTTAAAATGCAGTTTGCACAAACCATGCACAAGATGCAAGTTAAGCTCTAACTGGAAAGAAACATGCAGAGAACTATAAGCAGCAAGTAACTACATTGCAAACACATTTAGTTGGAGAGCTACTATCGTAGAAATTAAGTATCTAAGCTACACAGAAAACAGAATAAGTTTCTAGGTGTTAAACTTTACTTTTTTTTTTTAATACAGTGTGTTCAAAGAACATTTTTGGTAACATGTATTTAAGTTCTCCCAAATTGAGAAGCCCATTAAATTAGGGTTTTATTTGTCAAAGTTAATATTGCAAAAGACTTGGTTTGCAAGATCAATCATATTGGTAACAGACATGAAGAAATTAAAATGTATTTATGCAGTTTTGTACTGAGTCAGAGATATTGTCCACCTCTTCAATTTAGAAAACACACACCAATACTGTAAAATCATCCATATCAGCAGTAAGACTGGCTAACCTTTTCTGTTGTTTGCAAATCAAGATGTTTACACAGAGAATACATCTTTTGTATTCATTCTGTACCAAAAACTGATCACTGCGAATTCAGAGAGGATGAAAACAACAAATATATAGTTAAAAAAATTACAAGGTTTTTTTTTTTAAATTTTCCTGGGTTTTGCAGAATGAAAGTTACCTCAAGTGGACTTCAATATGAAATTTAGAACAAATGGGCATTTGTTGTAAACAGAGAATCCCTAACCAGTAAAAGGCATTTGCATACATACACTAAAAGCAATATGTGGTATTAAGATCTTGATGAGGATGGATGCTACAAGCCCCCCAAAATGGAGCAGGCAAGCAGAACCTACTGTAATAGAATGAGTAAATAATTCTAAATGCCACAAACATGTCTTAAATACCAGATGTTCTCAAGTAGGGAACACTACTGACAATTAAACTCGAATTTAATTCCAGCCTAGTTTTTAGATCTTGGGAGTTTTGGCAGTTTTAGAATACAAAGGTTTAGGCCTGATATATTTGGCATATGCATCTGTAATGCATTGGTCCCACTTCTTCAGTGTCCTCAATTTCCAAATGCATGGGAATACGTTACAGAATGTGAAGAACTACAGGCAAAGATCAGGCCCTGGACAACCAGGGGAGCCATAGTGGCTTCTGAGAAGCCACTATCATATAAGCATATGACAGTAGTAGCACTCATTCCCACATTGATTTTATGGTATTTAAGTATCAAAGTCTTGGCTTCATCAGAAAAAAAAAAAAGAAAAAAACCAACTTAAGACAAGTGTGAATATTCATGACCCAGATTTTTTTTGCCATAAAAATGCAGACAAAGAACCTTGCACTAGCACAAAATGCCAGAATTCTCCCAGCATCCCCTCTGCGTTTAAGGCATTCAAACAGCAATGCTATTCCCAAAGCACAAAAAAGGCAAGAACACACACCAACACAGCTTGGAAACAGGTCATCTTTAGTGTCTGAGTACAACTGGAGCGTTATGCACCTAGACTGCTCCTTAAATAAGTTTTCTATTAAGAAGTGATGTATTTTGAATTAATGTGCAACTAGTAATTGTACAACCACTACCTTCAACATGGAAGCCTTTGAAACTACACACTGTTGTAAGCCGTTACAAAATCAATACAATTGCACAAATACACAACAGAAGTCTTCTCAAGGTGCAGCTCTTATGTTATAAATTGAAGGTCCTCTTTCTCCAAAATGCCACATCACTCCATAACATTTACAGAAGTTAGGAAATTGCTACAAAAACTGTCTCCTCACAAATGCAAATCACAAGTGCCAGGAGAAAGTGTTTAGAATGTTTTAGAAATCAAATTATATTAAGATAAAGTGTTTTGTTCTTGCAATAAAATAACTTTTCAAGATTTATGAGTTTAACTGTTCTGACGACACATTATGGCACCACTTGCTCTCCATGTTCAACAAGTTGCCAAGACTTATCTTTCCAGCTTCCCCCTCCCTCAGTCAAGGCTCACCCCTCTCCTGCTTTCTTCCTTTCATTACTTTTTTTTTTGTTCTTTACTGTCAAACTTCAAAGCATAAATTCAGGGCCCAAAATAGGCTTGACAGGATTTACTAAAGCTGGACATCATTTCTGAATTTGGAAACTGGTGAACTGTGGCAAATACAAATATTTTAATCAAGTTTTGAAACAGTCCACTTTAAAATACAGAATAGCCAATATATAAATACACCTGTATCACTGTTGCATTCTAAGTATTCAGGTTATTTTTTTTTTAAGCTTCACTTCCATACTCACACTAAGCTATTTAATCCTATCAGGAATACATACTCCCTTAAATTGAAAGAACTACAAGTTAACCAAGTATGATTTCTAGTCTCAGGCTACATAGGTAAATCCCACTGAAAACACTATGAAATACACGAGTTTCCTTAGGGAGAATTAGCATTAAAACTAGCTTCTTCAAAATCCACCCAAAACTTATTAAAAGTAGAGTAATAGCAGAAGGAACACACACACATGCTGCCCAAGCTTTCTTTAATTACAAGATTTGATTTTTCAGATTTGGTCCAGAAATAAAGTGGGATAGTTCAAGTAATAAAATGTGGTTGGTAGTTTGTTAAAAACTGAGTGTAGATTTGCAAATCTAAGAAATAACATACTTTGTCCTTCTATCTTGACCAATTCTACAAGATTTCAGTCGTGCTACTTCAGCCTTGTGGAAGTCAGAAGTTTGACCAATCATACTTTTCATCCAATTTCTTCCACCTTGCCAAAAGTAAACAATTTTATACCATTATAAAATTGGCCCTAGGTGCAGTAATGAGTATTTTACAAGCAAATAATAAGATTCCAAGCAAGACATGTGCCTCCTGGGAGCTCACCAAATTTTTTTCCTTCTCTGGTTGTGCCCGTCATCTTAATCTTCGCAACTTCAAAGAAATCTTTTATTTCCCTTTCATATAGTCGTGATAAATAATCCATATAATTCTTGAAAGAAAAACACAGTTAGTTAACAGGCATACATATTGACTTTGTTCTGTTAAATAGATCTTAAACACCAGCAAGTATGTAAGTTCTGCTAAATAACAAACTGTTTTGGACTATTTATGTATATATTTATGTAGCATACACAAAAATATATTCGTGGTATTTAAGCAGGTTATATTCATTTTCCTAGTGAGTTCATCAAGCATCAGTCAGAAACTGCTACTTCTCCTCCATAAGGAAAGATAGGCAATGTGGTACATACAAATAGGATTACTAGTGGTAGAGCATCACAGAACTCAACTGAAGGGTGGAATGAAGAAAATTCAGCACCATTCTCTCTAGCCTTTTTTATAAGACTATTACTATGCCCCCAAAAAAAGCAAATAGGATGCCATTCTTTCTGAGTACATGACCTCCTTTATTACCATTCTCACAAGGCAAACAAAAGACCAGAAAACTTTGGGAGGCACAAACTCTGTGTGCCTACTTATTACAAGATTCAATCAATCCCAAAATAATTTGTTTGCAACACTGCAAAAAATAAGCTCAAATTTTAAAAAGACGAGAGGCAACAACTAAAATAAGTTTGAAGATTATCTGGTTTGTGTAGATTTTTTATATTTACATGTATTCTAGTGCAAAAGTTATAATATTTTTATTTATCGACAAAGATCACCTAAAGAATTTTCCTATGTTCTTCAAAATTTTGTTAATTAGCACACATAATACATAAATATGTAAGTCACTCAATTTTTTTTATTAGAAGATCATAAAGATGTCAAACATTCATTGACCATTTGCCTTACACTGAAGGCAAAAGACGAACAATTTCAAAGCCATTTCAAGAGTTTAACTGAAATTTTCCACAGTTGAGTTTTTAGGAATGACAGTAACTTAAAATAAAAGACTACTTGTTCTGTAAGGACTAACCTTCCCTTGACTTCTATCTAAAATTTTTCTATACTTCTAGAAATTTTTTCACTCCATGACAGTTTTAAACAAGACAGTTAAAAGTTACATATATACAAAGACAAAATGTTTCTATTTAATCTACTTTAAAAGAGACCTCTGAAGTTTTTGATATTCCCAAGTGAAATGAAGGTCTGTTGAAACAAAGATGTCACATAGGCAACAAGCACGTCAACATGACAATCGCTTAATTATTTTTCTTACTAGACTGTAAAATGGCAAACTTGTTTTACATAAAAATTAATCATAGAATCACAGAATGGTTTG